AAGAAACGTTCTGCCCACCACCATTTATAATAAAATGGCGGGAAATCCTGCCAGTTGCGGAGCTTATAGCGAATTCGTTTATTATCGGGGTTAACACCAGTTCCAACCCAGTGCGAAACCGAACTTTTTGTCAGTGTGAACATCAACCTGAGCTAGGTTTTAAAAACAAACGAGCAAACTGACGTTTGTCAGAAAACAAGCAGACCCAATCTTGATACCCGATCCAGGTTGGAACTGAATAATAAACGAATTCACTATTAGAAAGTATGTTTTGTGCAGAATATGTAAAAAAAGGAGGGACTTCGGATGTTAACCTAAATGCATATATCCTGCATCATAGATAGAGATAGATAGATTGGTTCTACGTCATACTACGGTCGTGTCTAGGACACAACCCTTTAATTTTTTTACACGGTTAGTGCCGCTGAGTCGCAATTTACTCGGTACTTTTTTAACGATTTCTCGACAACGATACAACCTATCGACTTGATTCCAATCACATTATCCGTTTCAAGCTATAGGTAATCAAATGGCATACTTAAAAAAAAAAAAACACAATTTTTGGTGCAAATACAGAAATTTTTAAAATATGTCTATATGGACCATAGCATGCTATAATTACGAATGGCATCAAAATCCGATTTATAAAAAATATTTAAGCATGTGAAAAATCTAAATCTCGGTAGTTTTTTTTTACGTGGTTTTTATATATCCCCCGCGTAAAAAGCGACTCCAGTGTAATTTCCTTTTCCATATGTACCGTTGGATTTGATAAAGAATCAGAAATTGTTTAGATTTTGTTCAACATGTAACACTTACGGCTTACGAGTTTCGATTCCATCTAAACGCATTAAAACGACACGGTATTTTCTTCATCATTCGGATGAAGACTGAAAAAAATGATTCGCTTGGAGCGCTTTTGTTTTTGAGAACAATGAGTGTCACCATCAGGTATGATAGGATTTGTGTTACAGCTTTTGGACATAAGAATAGGATCGAACGTATTGTTGATTTGTGCACGGTGAAATCATTGATATTATCTACTCGATAAAATGGAAATAGGCGGTTACGATAAATTAGTGCTCAACCTTACGTTTTTGACGTAGGACTACGTCAGTGATTTCTATATGGGAGTACACTTTGTGAAAACCAAAAAATGGAACAAGTAACGAAATTATGAAAGATTTTGAACGTTAATAACTCAGCTGCCCCTGGACCAATTTCAATAATTTTATCACCAATCGATCAGAAATATTTCTACGCATCGCTTCCGACTGTTGGTTTTCAAGAACAATTTAAACAGTAGTAAATGTTAAACATTACCCAAGAGCGTCGAAATAACCAACAAATCCCCCAATACCGTACATGCATATGCTGCTTCCCTAACACAGTCATCAGAGAGTCGCTGGTAGACGAAAAAAGTCCAAGTGTAATTCGCCTCCAATCTTCGGGCGTGGGCGAAGAGGGAGAATTCAATTGCGTAACATTTTGCACACTCATCGTCATATTCAGAACCACACAAAATGCTCTCCAGAGTTGTAATCTTGTAACCAAACTTGGAAACAGGGGTGCAATCATCGACTTTCTGTTTCGTTGATAACTCGACGGCAAACACATTCATTGATACGTTTATTGTTCTGGATGATAGAAGAACGTAGCAGAAATAGTGCGTAATAGGTTAGTGAAGCCGTGGTCATCAAAAAAGGAAATTGATGAAGAGTATTGACTATCGCCCCTAGCAATGGAAACTAGCATAGCAATGGAAACTAGCATCGCACAGCTTTTGGTTCTTGTGTTACACTTGCTGGTTGCAATTCTGCTGTTCGGCATTTTCGAAGGACCACCAAAAAACATGAAATTACACTAGGGATGCCTAAAAGTCCAATAATTCGATTAACGATTAATCGTAAAGATTTTCCAGCTATTCGTTTAAATATTTATTGAATTTTTAATTATTCGAGCGCATAACCGACATTCCTTCTTATTTCTACTCGTTTGATTCAGCGCAGTTGAGAAAATTAATAAAAGTACTAATTTATCTGAACTGGCATAGAGAAGAACCATGACGTGAAACAGGATCATAAACTCGCCGAAAAAAGTGTTAAGTGTCTTTCTGCTAAAGGCTAAGTTTTACCAACTTGTTGAGAGAAGGAGTTTAACGAGAAAAACTAAAAAAAGTAAGAGGTTGTATCCAAGGCACGACCGTAGATTTAACGTAGGATTACGTACTTGGTATCAATATTCGGCGTCTGTGTTAGGGAAACCACTTTTTCCCATCACGGAAACGCCTGGTTTTTTGATGACAAAAATACGCATTTTCGTGCTCAAAACGCACGGAATTTTTGGTTTATTCAGTAGATAATGAAAAAAGCGAAAATTGATTGAAGGAATTTCTGGCTAAGATTTTCCAATCGCGAGATATTCGTGATCAATCATATACATTCGAGATTCTTTTGCTTTAGCTTTCTAGCGACAGGCAGAAAACCCTACCTTAATTCGAAGTGTTTCTGGTTGATTGTCGAGGTCATGTGGTATTCGGTCTCTGCCCAAGTAACAATTTAGGTTGGAGGGTTCTGTAGACCATGCTTTAGACTTCTAGAATGGTATAAAACCGCGACAAAACTTGCAATGTTGCTTGGGTGCGATATTTTGTATGTATCACTTCAATACTGTTACGCATTTGACCACAAACGTTTGGTTTCTGAGTGCATTATCAAAGAGCTTTCGAACGTTCAATGAAAATTAACTCTTAAACAATAATAATTGATGGGGGTCCTGAAAAGAACCGTTGTGTCGTGGTGGTTGAGTAATGCTGAGCTATTAGAGTGTTCAGCACGTATGAGGCTGGCGAGCTGTATGTTGTTTGGAACGATGGTGACCCGCTTGGCATAGCTGACCCACAGCACCTCACGGAGAGTTACTGATTCCGATCAGGAGCGGTACGGCTTCTTCCTTCTTCTTTGGTGAATCGAGGGCACTTAAGGGCAGCCTTGATAGCTAGCTGCTTTCGGGGAGCCTTTCGTTGTGTACTGGAGAAAAATGTACAACGCCAAGTGCCGAAAGTACTGCTGCTGATGATGACGAACGACCGTACATCACCACACACGGTGATTGAAAAAGCACCGTTCGGTGAGACCGGATGAAGTTTGATTTTGGAATCTGTGTTAGGGAAAGCGTTTTTTGTAGGCAATCGGTGATCATTTCGATCACCATTGCAACAGTTGGACATTTGTGATCTTTTGAAAATTGGTAAAGTTTTCATTTTAGCAGAATTTCAATCGAAATTGATTTAGAATTAAAATCCATCTGCTATTGACAGAGTTATAAATAGTCAAAATCTGGCCACTTTTCGTAACGTGGTCGATTTTGGTTTTTTTGCAACTGCACCCCCCTGTTGCCGAAAAACGTAATACTACTTCAAAAGGGGAGGAGTTTTAGCTGGGTGGACACTGATATTCTGCGGCCTTCCAACCTGTCGCAGACACCAGTTCAACTCCTGTCCAGCAGCAGACGGGTCTAGACTCTTGCGAGTGCCCAATTATTGAACCGAAGAATAAGGGATTGTCCGGTACGATTTGCTGATCAAGCTGCCCACACGTCATCATCATCTTCCAAAGGCTTTAAGCCTGTAATACCATTGACCCTTTTCAGGGCCACCAAGATTTTCCAAAAAAGTTAAATTTCTGAACATGTCCCAACTAAAATTCATATCAACAGGTTCTTTTCAGGGCAATCATATTCATACTAAATAGTATAAACAGAGAGAACCCGGATCAAATTCCTATTCCTACACAAAATACAAGCTCCTGCATTTATTATATAAGACCTCGCTTGTGGTTTTTTTCGATTCAAGCCCAGTTTTTTCGATGTTCCATTCTGATTGCAAAAAGCAGTCGTCTTTTCATTCTTCTGTATATTTCACATGACATCGCTGCTTTTTGCAATCTAAAATGATGTGTCGACATAACTGGGTTTGAATGTTGGAAATTGCCCCAACATAAATTGCCCCTTATGCCAGAAGATTCATCGTGCTTCCGATTCCATAATTTTCCCACAATTATCCAATTAACAAACCTCCTTATTTTCAAAATCCCTTTCCAACCCATAAACTTGCGAAGCGCAATGAAATCGCGACTAATTTTAAGCTCCAGTAATCCTCCACCGGCGATACTGTTGGATGTCCCGCAAAAGCATAAGTACAGTGAATCGAAATAGTAAAATAAAAAAAAAAAAGAAAAATCACTCCGATTCGGAAATCCATTTTCGCGAGCAAATATTTACAGACTCCGATGAAAACAGCTTAACCGCACGAACCCAAAATGAAGAACGCGGGTGGAAATGGGAATAACAGCGTGAAGAAAAACAGAAACTTTAATAGCCCGATCCCCTGCCGTTATTTGCTCTTGGTTTAACGCCCTGCTCTTCTACATTTTCAAGACGATCTCAGCTCGTAACTGCTGCACCCTACTGAAGCGAGAGTGGGTTTCGACGCTGCTACTGGTTCGAGCTTTAAGAATACAAGAAAAAGGAAAATTTTCCACCCACCCAACGCAAGTTCGGTCTGGCGGAAGGTCAGAGTTGTTTTACCCCGGCTTGTTTCTTTCCTTCAATGTGCTGCTGCAGGTAGGTAGGTACCTAATAAGGTGAGTCCGGATTGAGAGGAGCTTACTTAAGTACTTGAGATCTGGGCATCCACGAGCTCTGTGTACCAAACTTTATTAGCTAATGGCTTTACGGTCTCTTTACCTTTGAGAACCGGTTCATCTTCTGATGCACGGTTTCAGATTAAAATCGGATACGCTTTATGCAGTGGAGTTTTCCTGAGACGTGTCTTCAACTTAACTCGAACTGATTCATGTTAGAATCCCTTCAAAAGTGGGTGACTGGGTGTCATTTTTCAACGACCCACCCAGCTTTGGATCAGTATAATCGTCAAAGTACGTACTTTCGATTAATTTTGGACTTCATAAACGGAAAGGAACTCAAATAGCGTCACTAACCTGTAGCGCATGAAGGACTTTGGCAGCGAGCGGCTTTTCAGCTTCATTTCGAACTTTCGTTTGATCGACGACGACGAGGACGACGAAGAGCGGGGTTTCGTCGTCGATGAGTAGGTCGGCCTGTCAATTCCCGATGTGATGATTGTGGTGGTGGTGGTGGTGATGGTGGTCGAGTGGCAATCCCGTTTCCGGTTCGGTGCATTTTCCATCATCGTGCAGAGTGCGGAGCGAATGTCGAAATGAAAAAAGATGAAAACAAATTACTATCTGATACGGAAAAGGGGTGATGTGATATTTTTCCTCGGTTCCCAGAATGAGGTTCGAGTGGTCTTGGGAATCTTTCGGGCTAATGTCTAAAGCTAAAGGCTGCCATGATGGAGTGATGTAATAATTTCCCACCTCAGACATCTTCTTCCTTGCCAGGCTGTCACCGGTTTGATGGAAGATTTTCTCGACTCGTGAAATGGAGTGTGATTGCTACAGGCTGAGGAAAATGGATCGGTGCGTTTGGGTGTGAAAACCCAATCCGCAGTGGATATCACTTTGAACGATAGACTGATGACGATTCGTTGTTGCCTGGTAGCGCATAGGGAAACGGATACTTGTGACAGGTGATGATGTCCTGATGGGGGAATTTAGGAGATAAAAATAACATGGCGAAATTAAATTTGGGTAATTGTTTTCGTGAAAGGTGGTGTCTCAGATGGTGTAACCGGATGGAGCATGTCATTATTACTTTCTATCAAATTCTGTTCTATGTAAAATTTCTCCGAAAATTCATTACAGGGTGACGTATTTTTGACGTATTTTAATGACAACCATTCTTGCTAGGGACCAAACAGTCTCTTTAAGAAAAACATCTAATCAAATATAATCTAGTCTAATTTATTCTTAGCTCTTACTGTTACAGCTATCGTGTGATCTCAGTTGCTCAAACAATTCAATCAGCTGTTTATATTTAATACTTAATTTATGGTTAATGGACGGCTTGGCTTAAAAAAAGCTTCTGATCAAAATGACGTCTTATACAAAGTTTTAGAGAAAAATAATGTCTGATTGGGAAAACATACACAGTAATTATATATTGCAATTTTCAGTTAAAATTCAAAAAAGGTGTAACACACACATATGTTACATACATACAAAATGTTTTTGTTCAATTTTGATTTTTTTAAAGATCATGAAAAATGCAAACGTTTGAAATGTTCAAAACTATTACCAATTGAAAAGTGGCAAAAATCGAAGAACAAGAATTTATGGTCAAATATGAAAACTTTTTGTTTGAACGATTTTGTATGTAATTTTTACACAGGAAACTTCATTTAGCCGTTTCCTGTGAAAAAAGTAAGAGGTTGTATCCAAGACACGACCGTAGATTTGACGTAGGATTACGAAAGGTAGTTATGATGTCACAGCAAAAGTATAGTAAATAATAAAATGATTTCTTAACTCGTTATCAGTGAAAAATTTCGATCGATTGAAATTCGGAAGCAATCTGAGAGCTTTGTTTGTGAGGTGCTCTGTCGATATTCATGTAGTACAAGCCAATCATGGATGATATGTCTTGGATTCAAGCGCTTACTCTTTGGTTTACTCTTTTATTAGTCATTTGTGTTCCTGAAAAGGACCGATGGGTTGGAAGCTTGAAGCTACACAGTTAGAAAAAAGAAGTGTAAATTTCTGTTACTATGATGCACATAAATGGAGCGTTTAAGTTTAAGTTGCACATAAATGGAGCGTTCAGGTTTACAATATATTTTTTTTTATATAATTTTTGTTTATTTATTAATTTATTTGATAAGGCTCAACCGAATTAACTTTACAGAGCCGAGGATTCTTGGTCACTATACTATACATCTTAAAACTATAGTCAAAAGTAGTTGAGTGGACTAAGATAGTGTGTGAGTGAATATCTTACGCGTTTCAATTAGCTCCGCTAATATCGTATTTTTAACCCGTTTAATTGTATATTACTTACTTGTTTGTGTGTGCATTCGTCGTTATCGTTGTGTATTATCGTAAAGTTGTGAAAATTTGATTCCCACGTCGCTGTTTGCTGTGTTTTTCAGTGTTAAAGTTGTGAAAATTATTCCCCATTTATTATTGTCTCTGTTTACATCTGCATCAATAGCAGTTCAGCAGACAAAGCATCCGCACAAGCTTATTGCTCGCAGTGAAATCAAGCCGTCATTCTTTGCTGCATACAGCTGAAAGTACAGTCGCATCCATATTAACCGGCTAAGATGGAACGGGTTTGTGGTAAATGTTGCAAAGAAGTTCGTGACATCGAACCTGCGCAATGTGCTTTTTGCGCAGCATTTTGACGTAGAACTACGTCTTTGAGCTTGAGCTTGAGCTTGATTGACCGCCCACGGTTGCTACTCTGTTACTGCCAGATCAGCTGTAATTACACAGAGAACCAATAGACGATGCTTGGGACTAGCAATCATCCTCAATGTGTAAAAACTGGTGATCTTAAATTAGGCAATACCAGCGCCGGCCGCGCCCGAACACAGGTCAAGAAAGGAATGGGAAGGATTGTGTTGACATGACACTCACTTTGATGGAAGCCGAGAACACCTCTGCACTTCCACGAGGAATCACTGGGATGTTGGATAAGAGGGTTGGGTTTGCAACAGAGTTCGTTTTGGTAAACAATAAGCTGAATTGATGTCCTAACGATCATATAACGCGAAGGAGCTTGGGACTAAACCCACGGTCTTCTGCTCAGTAAGCAAAAACGTTTACCACCAGGCAGACGAGCAGTTTTTTAATCACCGAGTTGCTGTTTTTACCATGTAGTCATATTAACAAATAAAACGATTGACGAATCTTGAATGTGGATGGGCCTGAGATTAGACTCATGATGTTCTGCTCAGTAAGCAAAAACGGTTGCTCTAAGGCCACCGAGCCCATCATATCACATAATACCGTTGCTCAAATTTGTGTATCCATTAAAACCCGGAACCAACGACAACAACGAGTTTCCATAAATCTCTTTGATATGTAAGGACCTGGGACCGCGTTTTTCTGCTCAGTAAGCAGGCCACTGTAACCGACGATCTTTCAAATCCGAAAACTAAAAACTACGAAAAAGTACTTAGGCCTTCATTAAGTTCCACTTTCACGCGACGTACAATGACAGGGTCCTATCCAGGATTACATCTGAAAAATCCAAATCTGGCCAACGCCCACCCTAAACCTAAACCTGTTCTAATCCACCTGAAATGACTAACGAATGGAAGACTTTGACTACCCAGCCATGCAATAGTCTCATTCCGTGCCTTATGGCAACTTGATGATTCTATTGCGCTCATCTTTTGGCACCACCCAGGGGAGACTTGGTCCTGTACCCAATGCTTAACTTATCTCCATTCCACTCAGCTACTCGCAATTTCTTGTGATATAGTGGGCGGAATATTATTATATGAGACAATTCAATGCAGACGTCTTTCCAAATTTGGCAGATCGACAGGTAATCGGTGAGCTACCACGATAGTTGCTATTCAACAACTCGACAACGTCCCATCGTCAACGCCTGCTATGAGAATTTCCCATTGCAGACGCCAACGAAATGACGTCATCGAGCTATCGATCAACTACCCTGGTTATCGCCTGGTACCTTATAGCACGATGCTAGGAGGCGAACCGGAAGAATCGATGAGCTACCTCCCCCCTTAGAACTACGTCTTTGTCGACTATACTGGGGTGCAAATCAAAAAATATGTGTGGTGAAATAGTGTCAGGTTTTGAACGCTTGTAACTTTGTCATTTACAGATGAAATTAAAATCCAAATACGCCAATCGATAGGATATTACATTACAAACCTGTTGAATTAAACATTTTTTCCAATTTTTCTGTAATAAAACTGTTGAACCAATGAAAATTTTATCACTGTTTTCATGAAAAAAAGCGTTTTCCCAAACCCAGTCATCATAATCGAGTACCACTTGGTTGCATATCGTTCTGAAAAGACATAAAACAGCACTGCTGTCACGCTTTTGCTCATTACCGCTTCGGACGGCGTGGCGCTTGGTCCTGCAGTAAGCAGGAGCAAGTCAGTGGTTAAAGGTGACTTGGGTCCCGTTCAACTAAGAGGCTGCTCATTAACTACGAAGAGGGGGGGGGGGGCGAGGGGGGCAAGAATCCCAAAAAATGTCTACGTAGTTAATGAACAGCCCCTAATACAAAACGCGGAAAAGTTATTTATGCAAAACACCCCCTCCCCTATAACGACAACCTGAAAAAATGGACTTTAAATATCACTTTTTCCGGGAAATAATTATTAAGTAAACTACAATGTAACTGCCCAGAGAGCTTCGAATTTGAAAAAAAAAAAAATCGCTCACAATATGTTAATGTTATTCTGTGGGTGATTTACCACCAACTGACTTCAAAACATATCTGGTACCTCTATATATGCAATCAGATAAACATCCTAAGTCCTTCCTTTTTTACATATTCTGCACAAAAGATACTTTCTGCCTCATCTCATTCATAAAAAAACGGTGGGAAATCCTGTCAGGGGCGGGGCTTAGAAGGAGCGTCGGATGTTAACCCAAATGCATATACCGTGCATCATAGAGAAAGAAGCTCTTTCTACTGTTTCCAATTGGCTTCTTTAAGGGTATTGAGGTAAAGGCATATTCGTAATCTACATTAAACATTGCTCCAAAATCCGAAATTTTATCAAAATTGGAGCACTGCAACTATTTCAAATAAGTGCGATTACATTAGCAAATATCACCATCTTAGCGCCCCTCAGTGGAACTTTGTATGAGAGCGAGCTGTCAATTTGTTAGTTTAGTGTCAAACAGTGGAGTTAATATTTTCTTTTATCTTTGATTTAAAAAATTGAGAAGAAAGTCAACGGTTTCGAAAAAAAAAATCGTTTTTCTAAAAAACGAGGCTCTTTCAGATGATGTATAAAAATCGACACACTTTTTTTTTAAATTAAGGTACCCAATGAGCGCAATTACTCAGGAATGCTTGTGATTACGAGCCCGCGTTTCAATAAAATCCTATTTTGAGAACATTGTTCATTTTTTTAGTATTATTAGAAACTAGAAAGTTAGATTTTTTCACCAAACACACATTGTTCATGTCCATATGTAATATT